TGACTCTATTTTCCCATTCACACAGAGCAAATTGCCAGTAATTTTCCGATTCTCTCGCACCGATATATATCAAAGTAGAAAGAAACAGACGAAAAAGCGAAATGATTAAAAAAAAAGAGTCAAACTGGAGGCACACAAACGGCAGCAACAACAACAACAATGAAAACAAGCGAGCACATAGACGGCACAGTGACTCGAAACGCGTAATGTATATTTTACTTACTGAAATCTGTTGTTTTGCACACACACACACACCGTACTTCTTTATTTATTTATTTTAATTTCAAGCATGTGTTTACCTGGTGCTGTGCTGTATGTCTCCGAACAGAGAACCAGCGTGTACGAAATATGATGTATCTGTCGCTCACAAACAAGGGCCCGAAGTCAATGCTTCGGGTTTTGCTTTCGTATATCTCGTGTGCGCGCACGGTGTGTGTGTGTGTCTGTGTGCTTTGTGTATTGTGTGTCTGTGTTTCATTTTTTCTTCTTTCCCGTTTCATTTATTTATGTATACATGATTTTAAAATTGGTTAAAGGTGCGCATACCTGGTTTGATGTTGATTGTTATTTTACTGATGTTGAATTAGCAAAAACTGTCAGTCATCTAAAGTGCGCGAAACGTTTAAGGTTCAAGAAAAAAAGCTAAGCGAAACTAGAACCGAAAAACAGAGAAAAATTCGACGACGATTTGTTTTAACGCTTCTCTTCATTTAGGAAAATTTTCCTCGATTTTTTTCTGCTCGGTTTTTCATCGAATTTATCGCGCAACATTTTCAAGCTTTTCAGTCAGAAATTGCAAATATTTCAACGCAGCCGCTACGCAGTGACATTTTTCGCAATCAACAATAAACCAACCGAGAGAAAAAGACAATTTTATTTACTGGAAATTAAACGGCGAATGAAATAAATTGACAAATTTCTTGTGTATAAACTTCGATCGAAACACCTGTTAAAATTTCATCTCACGAAATCAACCGAGAGAGTGGCCTGAGTAAACAAACTCTCACTTTGTCGATAGACATCAACAACAAAAAAAAAACATTTTTATTTTCATTCGCTGAATTGTGGAATGCAGTTTTTTCAGTGAATCGGAATTTTGAAGAAAACACAAGAAGATTTATTTATGCTGCATCGAAATAAAATCGGAGCAAAGCTTTTGAGTATCAACACGTTATCAATCATCACATCGGTCAAGTTTGATACGGTTTATTGACAAAGTAAGGAAAAACTAATCAATCCAATTGAAATTTCAAGTCTTTTTTTTCATTTTTTTCTTTAAATTATTATCGTTCTGAATTTTGAAACGAAGATAGTGAAGTGGACCTTTTATAACACCATAATAATTGCGTATCTATAGTTTTAATTATATTTCTAAACAAAATGCATTCGCGCAATTAATGAAATTTACCGAGTTCAGTTCACACGTTATACACGCGAAGTAAACAAACAGGAAAAAACATCGACCGAATGCAATATATTGTGGACTTTTTTCTCTCTAATAATATAGATCATTGAGGTTCGCTTCTAAGAATTTGATCAACAGTTTTGTGTACCTAGATTAAATCGGCTCATTGTACTTGAACATTGCGTGTGTAGTTGATGATTATGGCTTAATCATTAAGCCAACTCCATTTGCACATAAAAACAATCGATAGCTTTATTTTTAAATGGTTCACATTCCGAATCAAAATTCCAAGGGAAATTGATGAGAATTTTGAACATTTGCTGAAATTAATTGCTCAGATTTATGGACGAAATCGTTAAAATTGTCGGGAAAAATCTTAAAAAAGGTTGGAAATTTTTAGTTAACAAAATTCAATGCATATTTCGAGCCATTTGATAAGAGTTTTTGCAGGGAGAACCGAAGATAGTGAAGTACTTATAAAGCGAATTTATTGGGGGAAAATCATGAGCTGACTAATGAACAATCGTATGGGTGTTAAAAAAAATTGTGAGTAAATTTTCACACTATGGCCAAAAAACAGCAAGAAAAACCATCATTTCGTTTCGTTCGAATAAATTTAAGTTCAGTCAAAATGGTTTGAGTTCAGTTTCTACTTACTTCTTCCTCTTCAAAACACGCTTAAAATGGTTTGAAATAACAGTGTTTTCGCACCGGTCAAGTGCCAATTTCCAATATTTTGGGTATTTATTTGCTCGGTGGAATTACAAGTGATTCAAAGTAATTGTCCAGATTGATACCCCGAAATTATCCGAATCGCTCGAAGCGAGACATATTTTGTTTTTCAAAACAATTGATATTTATCAAGAGTGGCATCTTTTTTGGGTTGATTCACTAAAATGAAGCATATCCGCCAATATTTAAGCCAAATATAAATGAATATGTTTGATTCGGTAGTCAGTGGACCGTTACGCACATATATGTGCGTTGTGTTTTTCGGCATTAATTAGCTCATCAGTGATTTCAGCTCCATAAAGTTTTGAAGAACAGGAGAAAAAAAACTCAACTTGATGACCAACAAAACTCTATTTATAGTTCTGGCAAAAAGATCGTTCGGTGTTTTTTTGCGGCATTTGAAAGCCGAAAAAATGTCGATGCCGCATGTGAAAAGAATGGGCCGATTGTTTTGCGTTGACTGCGTATTCGAAGGTGTGAGAGAGTAGCTGGGCGCGAAAAAGGGATGGATGTATCTGATAAAAATTCGCGTGATTTTTCGTTGTTGTTGTTGTTGTGCCTGGCAAAAAATGTACAGTTTATCAATGACTAACATCCACCATTTCCTCAAGCGGTTGAATAAAATTTGCATTGAAAATGATGGAAGCATAACTCGACGACGACGACAACAACAACAACGAAAAAAAGCATAAATCGGAATCACTTGTCACAACACACAAAATCTGACGGCCGTTGCGATCGCTTGCACTGAATGGCAATTCACATGCGGAAACTTTCTAAATAAAGAAAACTTGCATATTAAAGTCATATCAAACTCATACACACACACACACACACACACCTTGCCTATGCAGTCGATGTGTAGAAGAAAAAAAAAGCGCGATTGATCTTTTTTTCTCTTTGAAAAAAAAACTGAAAATTATTTCAAGGCCCAAAAAAAATATGTCAGAAAATCGATAGAAAGATGTGATATTAACGAGAAAAAAAACATCACGATTAGAATTTAAACAAAATCGGTATTTTTTTTCTCTGTCTCATTGGTTGTTCCGTCATTGGTGTCGGCTACAACGTGTTCGGCTGGAACGTGTTCGGCTTGAATGGGATCACACAAAGCGAACATTTCGATTGTTCTCGAGGTCATCACACGCCAGTTTTGTTGTTATTGTTGCTATCTTTCGCAAAAATTTTGGTCATCGTTCCATTTATTCAATTATTCACGCAGAAAAAAAGAACCGCGCTGTGCTTCTGTCGAGAGCAATGTATTTCACTGAGTAATTGAATTGTTATCTCGTTTGTCGTGCATTGCGCACATTGTATTCTAGCAACACAACTAGTTGCTCAAATTCCAGTGACTACACTCAGATAACATAATATCTGTTCCAAAAATCTCCTAATTAAATGCAGGTATTTTGATTTTGTGACTAAATTACCACAAAAAATTCACCGAACTTCATTGAATTTGTGACATATTCTCATAGTGAAGCATTGGAATATTTATTACAAATTCAAAGTCTCATCGAATTTTTCGTTGGTAGTCACAAAATCAAAATATCTGCAGCTAATTAGGAATTAACGCTTAGGAACCGATGGCTAGCACGGTGTGTGCGAACAATAGCTCAACTGATCTGATCACTTACATGTGAATGAACTAAAATTTGTCTATGGGCTTGCGAAGACAGCAACAAGAACAGTGGCTCATATTTCCAATTGTCCGAATGTGTTCAATTCGAGATTACAAAGAACTAAATGGATTTCGATGTAAACTATTGAATTTCGGCTGTGTGAAATGATCGCGTAAATTTTGCGAGGTGAACGACATATTCGCGGTGCGCTGTTGATCGCGCAATCTGAGACTGTTTTCCATTTGCACATCATTGACCCAGTAGTATTAGCAGGTTTTACTTGTGCTCGTTTGCCTTAAATCAGCCCGCAGCTTAGTCTCTCTGTTGCTCGGTTAATTTGTATGTGTTGCGCTGCTGCGTTGCACATCGTGCTGTGCATGGAACCGATTGGCTAGTGCACACAAAATACCAACAAATGTGTCGCCAGCGTGTCTGCTGTGGAATTTTTACGTTTTCACAATTGCACAATTTACAGTTTGGTACGTGAGATGTGGCTCTGTAGACAAACGGACTGATGAGTGAAAAGTCGACGTTGAAATCACGTCACTTTTTTTTCACCATATACAGGTTCAAATGTATCGATGAAAGAGAAAAAGATGACGAGAGAGAGAGAGAGAGAGAGAGAGAGAGAGAGAGAGAGAG